GTGCAGCCGCCATAAAGAGTACTTTTATATCGCATCTGTCTCCTAGTGTGCGTCTAAATTCCACTTGTAAAGTAATACGTCATCCGAAATAATAATGTAATGATCCAATTAATGTAACATAAAATTAACAGATAAATGTGACATATAATAATTTTAAATTTTAATAACTTTTAAATATAAACAATAAAATAGCTAATTAATACAAACTAATGAATATCACTTTAAGTAAAATAAAATGTAAACACCACCAGATTAATCCGGGCCAAAAGTAAACCCATGTTAACACCGGTAGGTCCATTTAAACAAACAAGGGAAAGAGGTTATAACTAAAGGGTGAATAAATTAGTTAAAGGAAGTAATAGTTAGAGAAATAAAACTATTTTAAAATAAATTTTATTTTAAAAATATGTAAAAATAGAGATATAAAAAAAGTAATGTAACTCAAATAAAGATTAAAACAATAAAAATATGCTAAACACGCCCTATAAACAAATTAAAGAATCCACTTGAGTAAATAAAATATTATTTTTATGTAAGAATTCATAAGTAAAACCACTATACATATAAATAATTGAAATCAAAATTATTAGACATACGTTTATATAATGTAACTTGACATGGATACTCTTGTGGAAGCACTTATAATAAATGATTAGAGAGGTTTGTTTTTTTAATTATTAGTAAAAGATATGATTCATAGCTTAATAGACTTCATAATGCACAATATGGTAATAAATCATTTTCTAATATAATGCAGCCTATATGTGACAGACATGCTTAATTTAAATAGATGAAACAAATAGAAACCACATTACGAAAGACAACTTGATTTTAAAACCACAAAGAATGGATTTGAACATAGGCCACGTTGCATTCAAAACCATTAAATTGGGTCCAAAATAAGATTGATATATTTAAAAAAATTAATTAACACTTCACTCATATAATTATAATCAAATATTATAATTAGTCTTGTAATCTTAAAAAACAAAATTTCCTTAAATTAAAAAAATTCATACGGCTAAAACCTGTGGATGTACATTTTAAAATTGAAAAATGATACTAATTTTATAGAGTAGTGACAATTAAATAATTGAGAGAAGTTAAGTGTAAATTAACACCAATTAATAAAATTTTGTGGTAATAATATCTATAATGTGAATGCCTTCCCTTATTGTTTTAAATTATAAATTATTCATAATTTTGCATTAAAAATTTAAAGATCAATATTTCGGTTAAATGCCCATTAACGTCTGCATTTAAAAATCTTAATTAAAATAAAATTATATTAAAATGTATAATACCTGTTATATATATTAATATTACTCCAATAAAACTAACAAAAAGAGTTAATAGAATAATGATACAGCATAACTCATCCATTAAGAATAATTAAATTCATAAAATCGGAGATATCTATGCAAAAATGCTCAGGTGAAGAACCTTGACAGATAATACCGAGACATATGTAACACTCACGAAACCAGCTAAAGACAGCACAGTGAGTTAATAATTGCTTAGATATGCCATTAATGAAACTAAAGATAAAGATACACTAAATACGCTTTCACACACCCACCCAAAACACATACAGCCATAAATTTATCAAGTAAATAAACTATGTGCATTGTATTTTAATCTAACTTGTTCTCAGATATCTCTTTCTCATCAACAGGGATCCATCAATGACTCTCCTCATTCCTACTCCACGTCATCGCCCTACTAACTGGGTTCACATATCTGAGCATAGCTCTACACTAAGATCGTGTTTACTAATATATGGCCCAGAGTAGTAAATACTTGTACGGCGAGTGTAGAGGATAAGACGAGGAATAATAAGATGGAGAATTGATTTCATGATGATGAGGAGGAGGAATGGAATATAAGGAACTTTCAACAATGTGAGAGTATTTCAGATAGCATCAAGTGGTACACTTCATATTTTGAACAGTGGCGCGTGACATATCTAGTATTTATTTCCTATATCTACAATTGAGGCAAAACTAACCACAAGGTCTTTTGGCATTGGAGAATTTTCCTCTTCTCTTTCCACATAGTGTATTCTGGCATGTCTTTATTGTCTCTCAATAGCCTTATCACATCAAATTAGTCTCTTTAATTGTAATAAAATATTTTACTTATCACTGATTTATTAAGAGTAATGACTTTTGTATTCTCCTCATGTCCCTCTGAGTGTGGTTTCTAATATTCAAATTATTATTATTTGAATTACCATTAGTTAATTGAAAGAAAGAGATTAATACAATCTAGTATCTGTTCTGATGCGCGTTTAGCTGAATAGTCAAGACAGACTCGAATGGCCCAGTCCTCATGAGAACAGACGCTCAGCTTTTATGAAAGAATGTTTTATTTATTGGTTTATTTTTCTCACATATATATCATCTATTTTGTGTAAAAGATTGAAGCAGACACGGAGAGAAGAGAACAGAGCGGTGAAGGAGAAACATTGTAAATGTCTTCATCAACAGCAATTGGAAGAACTTTTGTTCAATTGCTCACAACATCTTCATCACATCACAAAATCCTGTTATCGGATCACTTATTATTATCGTATCACAAATCTTCGCATCACATCACATCAGTTCAATTCACATCAACAAACATCTTCAATCACATCATGCAACACATCATGCATCAAATCATCAAACAACAACAACTTCATCAACATCATCAATCACAATCATCAACAACAAACATCTTCGATCAACCATCATCATCATCGACAACACGTACCATATTCTTTATCACAAACAATCATTTCTTTATCATCAATGTTCCATCAAATCATTCATTTGAATAATCAAATATCCAGATATGGAGTAATTTTGAAATCTCGAAAATCATACACGTCCTGAACTGAAGCAAGATTAGTGCAGAGAAAAATGAAAGAAAAAAAATGTGGCCAATTGAAGAAAGCAGGGGGTAAATAAGACTGCGTTTTTCAAACACGAGAAAAAAAAGCCATGGGGCAGCAAAATCGCAACAAACCATTTGGGAATAGTGCAAAGCACGCAAACCTGTTCAATTTACATAACTACCCTTCATGTTTTCAAAAAAATTGTTCAAACAGCACACTTAGGTAAAAAAAGTAAAATTTCCTAAGTTGGGTAGGGTTATGTGGTCATTTTAATAAATGTGACACATAAACAAATATTAACCAAAAGTCAAAAATAGGCTTTTTACCAACTTCCCAAATCACTTTTCAAAAAAAAGTCAAAAAGCTTATGGTAAAAAAACCAAAGGTAAGCTTTTTATCAACTTCCCAAACACCCAAATTTTCTTCTATTAAAGAAGATAAAATTCATTAACGCTAGACTTCTCTCTTTTATTTTTAAGTTTTATGCTATCATGATTTAAAAATTAAGTTATGAATAGTAAAGTTATTTATTATAATGATATTTAATTTTGATTTAAACTTTATTTTTTTGGCATTAAATGTTAATTTGTAGGTTGGATCTTAATACATTAAAACATTTAATCAATATTTCGCATTACCTCTAAATTAAAAAAATAAATATTTTTTACAAACATACCAAGTCGTATACTCGTACCAAACTTTGTTAGACTTATTTTAATATTGCGATCATGCTAGCGTAGCTCGAAAATGCCGAGCTCGAAACGCGGCTTCGACACCAAAAACGACGTCGTTTTGGTTGTCGATTGTTTTTTTTTGTTTTTTTTTTTTCCCCTGGTTTTTGCAGAACAAGAAGAAGAAGAGAAAGAAGGGAGAGAAGAAGAAGGGAGAAGGGAGAAGAAGAGAAGGGGAGGAGGAAGGAGGGAGGAGGAGGGAGGGAAGGGGGTCATAAACCGGTATATGAGGAGGAGGGGAGGACTGGCTGCGACGGAGGAGGAAGGCAGCAGCGGCGGCCGGAGCTGCGACGACAGGGGGGCGGCTGCGGACGACGCCCGACGCTGCTTCCTCTCCCTCCCTTCTCTTTCTCCCTCTCCCTCGTCACTTTCTCATCCTCTCCCTCTCCCATCTCTTCCTCTCGAGCCATTTCGGAGGCCTGGTAGCTTCGAGCTACAAGGCATTTTCCTTATTTGATAATTTATTTAATTATGTTTTAATTTATTTGAAAGAGAAAAATAGAATCAAAATTTTTTGATGACTTATTTGAAAGAGAAAAATATAATTAAAATTTATTTTGATAATTTATTTGAAAGAGAAAAATAGAATCCAAAATTTGTTTTGAATAATTTATTAATTATATTTTAATCAAAATTTTATTTTGATATTTAGTTTAAAAGAGAAGAAATAGAATCAAAATTTATTTGTCGCCATTATTTCTCACCTAAACCTTTATACTAATATTGTTAGAATGTATTAATTATTGATATAATCAGGAGTTTAAAACGCCCAAAAAAAAAGGTTCATACAGTCTAGCACAACAGCAGGCCAAAATGTTCAGTAGAAGATATTCAAATTAGTAATGATGGATAGTACCACGGCTTATAACGGCTTATAAAAGGTTTCAAAATGCCAAAAGGTTTTAAAGAAGCTTCCTGTGGAAAGATATATTCAAATTTGTAATGATGGTGGAAAGATATTCAAATTGGTAATGATGGAAGTACAAACGGCTATAAACGGCTAATAAATTCAATGACTACAAACGGCTAATAAACGGTTATAAAATTCAAATGAATACAACGGCTATAATTTCATTATATATACCAAACCTCTAATGGTAAACAAGTTACAAAAACCTGAATATTCTTTGATCTATGAAATCCATCACAATCTATTTCTAAGAAATTATACACTGAGTCTTATAGGCATTTAAGCTCATCTTTCCTGTGTGAGATTTTACAGAAAAAT